TATTGGAGGATATTCAGCAGTATCTTGTGGAAGAAGATGATTTCCTTATCCTTGATAATGTCAAGACATATTTATCTTTTAGGAGATTGTGCAGAGGGCATGGAATTACTCTTAGGGAATTTTTATCCTATTCACCAAATTTGGATCCAATTGAATGTATTTGGGTGCTAGTGTAAGATACATTTTAAAAGCAATATCGTGACCTATATTTCATGAAGGTCTGTAAAAATGAGGTCAAAAAAACTATGGAGGGGGCTATTACTGCTTGTTGGAAACTTCTTAATACAATGATTTATGATTCTCTAGCAGGTTCAATGGTGGATAGAATTGAAGCAATTATTAAGGCAGATGGATGGTACACTAAATATTGATTTCTACTATGTATTTAAATTTAAAATTTTTATTATTATTATTGTGATGTTGAGGTTAATGAGGCAGTGGTTGTTGTACGATCAATGTATTGTTCTCTTTATTGTCATCGGTTATTTCTGTTAACAAAACTACACAACTAAGGAAAGGTGATTAGTTAATTGGAAACTCGTAACTATATTGGATGATACAAATTGTAGGGGTTGGAAGAGGCGGGCGGGATCGTGTGTCTTGGAGGGAAGCAGGCACTACTACAAGAGGACCTAAAACAGTAATGGAAGACCACTCTGAACTCCTAATAGCTTCACAGGAACATTCATCATGTGAGACCACCTCCGCATTGATTACTAGCACATATGTAGTTTATGCAAGGGGGAAGATATTGGTTGGGCAGAGTTGAGGCATAAGAGCAAAGTTTGTGTATGAGGGTAAAGTGGGAATTATGGTGATTTTCTTGAGCCTTAATGCTTTTTGTCAGAGAAGCAATGAGGTCTTTCCAATCTCGTTTCCCATAGCGCTATCAACGTACTATTCTTGATCCTTTATTAGCCATGTTTCCCAGAGCTCCATGTGACCTGCCCCATTAAGTACTTGTGTTTGACTAAGCTACCTGCGATTGGTAGTATTGTAGAGCTTATTTGTGCTTTGAAGATTCCGGCACAAATATCCCTAAAGCTCTTGTGAGGCTGTTTTATCCTCGCGCTGGTGGCCTAGCCAGCTTATTATCCTCTTTATGTAATGAATAGTAGAGTCAGAATTCCCTAGTAAATCTTCGCTAGTATCTTGTCTGCAGGAAGGACCTGGTGGCGGATCTCCCTGCTTCCTCTTGGCTTTTTGATTATACTAAAGGTATTACACCTGATCTGTTCCCTTGAGTTAATATTTCAGAGTACACCTTCTGATTTTACCAGATAGATGCCAGTAGATGCAAACGATTCGCGGATATGATGAGAAGTGAAGGTTGACCGACAGGCCTCACTTAAAAAAGCAATAAAAGTCAACTTTTTTATTCCCCCCATGTTCTGACTAGAGCGGAAACGATTATCTACAGCAAGGATAAAGAAGAGATGGTACAGACCAAATTGTCCTACATCCAGTGGTTGAAGTAAGTGCATAGAATGTGCGGGAGGCAACGCTCAATATCCTTATTCAAAAAGCACAATAATACACATTCAAGTGTGATCTCAGATCCATGGCCATCAAATATCAAGAGTAGGGGATAGTCACTTCATCTCTCTGTAATTTCAGGAAGGAAGACCTTTCGCAACCCCTTGATTGCTAGTTGATTGTCCTTTCACTCACACCGTGGGTAGCTGAATTGGTAATCATGTTCCATTTCCGTTAGGCCTTTCTACCATCAAATATAATGGGCTGCTTCTTTCTTAATAACCAAGAGCAACACTACTATTACATCTCCTCTAATTGTCTGGAAAACAGTTACCAGTTCCTGTTTCTCATCATGGGTAACACTGGAATTCCGCAGACCATGCCGACAAAGAACCTTTATCTGGGAGGCCAGCCTAATATGAAATCCCTTCTCAACCATATCAAAAATCTGGAACTCCCACAGGCTATGCTCATGGATAAGGTGACCATGATTGCCACAATAGCTCCATATAAGCCCCAGATCCTTGGCATAGGAACATTGTCTCTCTAGCTGAGTACTCAGCTTTAATGCCAGGTCTGGATACCTTCTCAGGAACCGAGAAATCACGTTTCTTCCTAGCGCTAGAGAGGCGTTTCCAGTTCTCTTCGATTCCCGATGAATTACCATATCCTTAACCATATCTTGGCGTAATGGAAAGCCAATATTGTCCTTGGTAAAGCACCACTTGACAATTGCGTTTCCATCCAGTGATGTTGTTGCTGCTCGTCATCTCCTGCAGCTCGGGTCAGGCTGGTACCGGCAAGTCGTTGACGGAGACGCCGGTTTGCCACAAAGGCCTCAATTGCGGTAGCGACATTTGTCTCCTCTCCGCACTTTATTGTTTGAATCGCCCCTTGCAGCCACTCCTCACATGCCGAATCAGTTTTCTTTACAGGTACCGTGGTGTTTGTTGTGGCATCGATCGGTTACACAGTGGGCAAGCGGGGTTATACATCTTCAGAACGCCTTATTTCGCGAGGTTCCGGCTTGTATCACTTCCCGGTATTGTAACACTTCCCTGTGCGTGACGTTAGTTCCCTCACTCCCATACTTTATTATCATTATGTTGCCTATTTCATAACAATAATTACCATTATTAGTATTCTGTTTTGTACGTACAGGAGGGAGGTTTGATAGCATTTCCGCACGATATCTCTTTTCTCCCTATACTTGATTGGCTCTCCGGTCACCTTAGCCCTTTGCTTACACTATTTCGCAAAACACGGGATCATATCTTCTCTTGACTGAATCGCTTCAATTTTCTTAGCTTCTACTATGGACCCTTTAACTGGCATTTCCTGCTTGACTAGCAGCTCATGCACATCATATAATGCCATCTATTTGTCTAATGCTTCATCATAGTCGGTATTAGCATATGCAATACCACCTTTCCCCTTTTCGTATCAAAGTCGAGCCCCTCTAATCCCTTTTCTTCCACGAATAAAGACTTTAACATTCACATCAATGCGATATATGTTGTGATATTTAACTCTGATAAGATCATAAAATCTTCCCTTATCTCTTATAAAGAGATGTAAATTGTTACACCTGAGCTCTACCAATTGGTCCTAAGAGTCATTATCCTTAAGGATAGGACGGGGTTTTTCTGTACTCAGAATTGATTAAGAAAATTCTTGAATCACGGGATCTTCCATGACGGAGACCAGCATCGTTGGAGGGATGGGGGTTGTCGTGGGTGTCAGGCTCTTGGGAGGTATGAGGGTGATGGGGGTGCAGGGGCTGTAAGGCGTGCAGAGAAAATTGACAGTGTAGATTAGGTGATTATTGAATGTATAGACACGGTAGAGAACGTAGAGTAGATGGGGAGTCCATATATGGGAATTGTAGGAAGTGTGGATGCTGTAGCAAGTGTGGAAGCACCAGTAGTTACAGAGACAACGGTTCAGAAAATTGCCATATGGGTTCAGGTACTTTCTCGCTTTCCGAGTCTCACAATTTACTATCAATAATTGTTACTTCAGGTTAATACATTGTAACCCGAAAGTCTCTAGTACAATATGTTTTGTCATGGATATTGTACCATATTATTGTCTAGGTTCCTACTGCAATTAGACTGTAAGTATCTCATTCGCCTCAAAATAGAAATCAACTGAAGATAATTCTCTGAAACTCTTCACTGTCAGAAATTCTTTTCATTAAACTTCTAAATGGAAAATTTTGTGATACCTGGTTGAGACTGTTACAACAATTCTACTCACATTGGGCTGGAAAGACTTTGGGGTTTGGTGGGTGCGCACGTGCGGGATGGGAGTATCCACAGCGTGTACCGCGCAGGTGGACAGGTATCTCCACAGTACGTGTAATAGGTGGGCTAGAGTATCGGGTTTCTCAGGTGGTAGGAGTAGGAGCCGTGCCTGAAGTGGATTTCAAGTTGATAGAAATGTTGCTGTTAGGGTGGTTGTAGCAAGGTGAGTGATGGTAGTGTTACGTTTGGCAGGTGAGCGGGAGTGATACGGCAAATATACTGTAGTCACATGATCTTGTTTCGTCATTTCCCCTGGTGGAGCTGCGCAACAAGCAGAACCTCTCAGAAAATTGATGCACCATTTTCACACATGCCCGACCCGGTTGTAGTGCGCACTCCACTGCAGAACCTCGCCATTACTGGCAGGCCAATGATCCCTCACCCACCATTACGCTACGCCCGAAACATTGGATCCCGACATACATTCGGAAAGGACTGATGTCGATGCGGCAACATCCCAAACACCTGGGAGGGGGCAACTCCGGCTTTCAGTGATGGCGAGCAGTTTCAGTTGGAGTTGAGAGCCATTTATGACAAAGGGCCGCAGTCGCACTGACCTTCATGGCTTCATATTGAGGAATTTTGATTTACAAGGACACAAATCTGGAGACCAGGTATGTGGAAGGCTGAGCTGGCGTGGATGACGTAGGTCGTCAACTGGGAGGTCAAAAAAAGGTTTCGAGATTCCTCGTATCCCGTGAGATAATGTGTGACGATTGTGGCCAACATTCCTGATTTCTACTGCCTTTGTTTATTGTAGTAGGCTCTCTGTACTATGGCTTCGGGCCATATCATGACTGATGTTATCCAAGTATCATAGATTGACAACAATTTAACCCAGCCGATAGTCCCCCGAGGGCAGTTTCAGAATCGTCTATCACAGATTATGAGGGGAAAGAACGCCCTCTTTGGATATATATATAAGGGAATGAAACAATTATACTTGGGATAGACTTGATCTTTTCGTCGACCCACAGTCTATTTAAATGAGGAGGGAGGGGCCCCTTTATAAATACACGAACCACAGCTAACTCACCCGGGAGTCTTGTTGAACATAATCACACTATTTCCATACATTCTCAAACCAGGGCCCTGCACCTCTTTTTCGCCAGTACCCCCCTGCTTTGGTATACCTTTTTACCCCCCACTTCGCATAGTTCGCCGAGTAAGTGACTCCGCTGAACCCTCCTTTCCTAACCCTCTCCCATGTTCTACATGATATGAGTATAGGACATGTCTTCAGTGGAGCGCCAGTGATTAGTAACATCGTCCACCATATTGAAGAGGGAAAAACAAAGAACAAGAAATAAGCACCCCGATGTAGTGGTAGCGAATGTTAGATGTAAACTCTTGTGAAACGGAATTCTATTTGGGGCCGCAATTTGACCTCAAGCTGTTCTGCAGGAATAGAAAAGTGGGCAAGAAGGCAGAGGCTGGGAACGGCCGCGGTGATATGACACAGCGAAAAGAGATGTGCCAACTATATTGAGCGCACAGACATGAATGTTGTTTCCACACCGCTAAGTAAGTACTTATTAACGAATGTTCGCCACGAGAACCAGCCCGTTGTCTAACCGTCCCCCCCCACCGACTGCATGGCAACCAAGGATATATTGTATTATTTCTGATCATGAAATAAGCGAGGTGGATATTCAGCCGCCAAATGCGATAGTTCCAGTGAGGCACGTTATGGGCCTGACACCGGCGATCGTTACGTTGCATTTGAGAGTGTACTTTCCCTAATAAAATGTATATTAACGAGTTGAACCCCCTCGGCATGATCGCAAGCACTAGTGCTGGGAATAACCTACGGGAGGAATAAATTTGGGGACATCGACCACTTGGGTCAGCGTCACCCTGCCTCGATCAATCGGGCATTCGAGGCCAAGCTCACCCACATGGTCGCAGATGTTCAGTGACTGCTTCATCAACGTAATGAGGCCATATTTAACGGTAACGTCGACATGGGTGCTATTCGGGAAACCTTGTCTTTGAGAACGCCAACAGCTTGCGTAGTAAGAGGTTTCCCACTAGATGAACCTTTGTCAATGATCACTTAAGGTACCAGAGGGTATGGGAAGGAAGAGGGGCGGGATGTATAACGCACCGGATGGGCGGATTGGGGGTCAGGTCGACCTTCTCGATAGTAAAGATATCACCGGAATGGTCCTCATGGCAGTATTTTAGAGGGTTGTCTCCCGGAATCTCATTCAACCCAGTCGTAGGCGGCACCAAGTGCTTAGCGAGCTTGTGGAACAGGCTTTCCGATGATACTGTCACCGCAATCAGTGAGACCGAAGATAGAAAGCTTCATGATTGTCTCAGTAGTTTGAAGGGAATCTTTTGTGAGGGGGCGCGGAGACGGTGGTGGTGGTGGTGGTTGCTAATGTTGGGGAGGATGGAAGAAAGGTGAGGCTGGTGGATATGTTAACTTTATATCAATTTAAATGTGTGGGGATCGGGGAAGGCGGGAGTGGTGTCATATTGGCCAAAGACACGGTGGCAGGAGGAAGAGACAAGTTCCAAACCATGAGCTCGGCTTCCTCCTCAACAAATTTCAATTCCTCCTCCATCTCCATCCCCCTGGCCGCCGCGGAAATTGTCTCGATTAGAGGCTAGATGTGCATCTCGATTACTGTCATGGTGCCAAGAATGTCTCTCCACCCCCTGCCGCGCGGTCTTGGAGAGCATGCTGACGTCATGCCAACGTGGCATCTCCCTTCTCGAAAGACCTGTTCTCTAAAGGCAAGCTGATCACAAGGCTCCTGAAGTGCGATGAAAAAACATTGAAATCTGTTCGGCCATGAGACGATACAGATGAGAGTTTCATTCACGAGAGGGGGTTCGAGGGCCAAAGCGAAATTCGAATTCCCAACTACGGTATCATGCCGAGACTTAATGTCTGTCGAATAACACCTTACAATAGAATTGAACAACACACGCGATAATTGCTGCCCACGGCAACCATCTTCAACGGGATCCGAGTTTCGATACCCGCAACATTGAGGGGAAAAGCATATATCAGGCGTTTCGGTTAGTGTAGAAGAAGTACAACTCACGCAGCAGGAACATTGGGAATTTTCCTTGGTTGAGAGAATACACGTGAATGCTAATAATAGGCTTTCCACCAACTATATTCCGGTGTATTTACGAATCATACTAGTATTGCCCTCGGACCGCATACGCCATTACACTTGGCCGTGCGCTGCTCTGGTAGATGTGTCGATTGCCCAGATCGCGAGACGTTCGGCAAATCCAAAATCTCGGAATAGTAATACAAATCGTGTTGCCAGGCCTCGGTCGTCGGGCCCAAGCGCTGGCGTTATGTGACACAGGAATATCTCATAATATAGAAAACAGAAAACCGAGGACAGGCACACTCCATTCCAATGGATTAAAACCCCGACACCCGTTAATATAATTGGCTACGATTTTACTTCCCAATTCACAATCTTCCTTCCATTACGAACTTGGATGGATGGAGATGTCGCTATTTCAACCGGTGGCGGCCACCTGAAGAGTTTAGTTGGGGGAGGTTTTGACAATTGACCCAAACAATTTGACAGCACCATCTCCCGTGGATGCAGTATTAGAGAAGGATATAGATCACGTGAAGGAACGGGAAAGGCAGCTAATTGTCGGCCTAGTCAACTCGATAGAACTAGCAGGTGCGAGGTCTCTACCTACTGATCATAGGCTCTCGAATACGTCTGAAAAAATGGTATGTTCCAAGTCTGAGTAAATGATCCCGTTGTCTTTGTAATTCTATATCACCTCTCCCTCCCCTCTATGAGTAACAGATTTACATTTGATATCTGCTCGCAGAATCATTGATCTATCCTTAGTTATACGCCCAGGTCTACGCCCTCAACACCCGTAAATCTCCCGTCTTTCTCTCTTTCGGTTGCAACCGTTAGTAAGTGCCTACAGGGCCCGGCGAGGCATCCGGAGCCCGTTTACCATGCGTACTACGCGGGAGGCACCCGGGGTTCCCATCCTTCCCATCTTTCTGCCACGTCCAGTCCAACCTCCAAATGGTCCAACCGGACTCTTAGGGACAGTCGTTAAGCACCAGTTTGGATATGACCATTGAGTTCCGTTTCGTCATCGCAATGACATCTTCCCTTCTCCCGCAAAAATGATTGCCGATATCGGTTCTATATCGTTTTAACAATAGTAGGTTTGATTTAGAACAGGTTGAGATGAAGAAATTTAATAAAACCTCGCGCTTCTTCACAAAGATCTCATGAAAGCTATCCGCCCCCATCCAAGCGCCATTGTCTTCATAAATGCTTCTAACACATTTGCACCAATAAGCCGAAATGATCTCATATAAGTTTGAAATTGCATGGTTCGGTTCGGTTGATTTGTATGTAGTGGGGTTCATCGTGCGGTCGATAAGAATCAGTGTAAATTAAAATGAATAGGCTATGATGGGTAGAGGGGAGATTGTCTTGCGGTCCTTATTCTTTTCTGTGCTGCCAGCAGCGTACTATATACACGATTTCTAACTACGGAACAAAGTCTTCTTCCTCTTCGCAAGACTCTTTTTCTTCCTTTTTTCTCATGCTCCTTATCCTTCCACACCACACTCCCTAACATCCTCCAAGACATATCATCCCTCAATCCCTTTCGCACGTCTCATCCTCTTACACGCTTCTCCTTCCTTCGCCTGCAATCCTTAACCCGAGCTGAACCATCGTTTTTTTCCCAATCGTTGTAGTGTGACATTCTCCGTGTTCCATCTCTTAGTTCCAAACATCGAACATTTCCTAGTGTTATTTCTCAAACCTTGCAAACATCTCCGCTGCAACTAGCTTCTAGTACAAACAACCACCGCTTCAACTATCATTTTCCGTAACATTTTCACAAACATAACTTCTCTTAGCAAAACATCCATTGTCATAGGTGATCCATGGTCGGGGTCGTGGTAAGGATAAGGAACCTTCGCGAATATTCTAACATAAATACCATCTGTGTCTACATCAGAGTGGTTATGTTCACCTCTATTCCATATTCCCCGGTGGTTGGCTCACAGCTGTATCCATCGCTTAGCGGAAATCCGGCTTACACCAGACGTGCACCTTCCTGGGAAAATACCTATGCCTACCGAGGCACCAGCAGGGAAGAAGAAAGCTATTTCTCAATTTGGAATGATTCGGATGAAGCGTGCTAAGGTAAGGTCATGGTGGAGCAGTTTGCGTAATGGAAATATGTCTCCTACCTTCCCTCGTGCCAATACTAAGATGAGCGTGACTACTGAGGACTGTAAAGGCCTCAGTAGTCCATGAATATCTTGGGATTGCATAGGTATCCAGCGGCCTTAACGGTGCATGTCGCCCCTTGGCGTGGAGTGCGCCAAGACGCGACTTAGTAGTTTAGTTCTGGGGGCCGCCTGATTTTGGAGGCGGCAGGGAACCTCGACCGGACCGGCCTAACTTCTGACATGGAGTCTTCTGCATGGTCAGGACTAGCCGCTAGGGATCGTTGTTCCTGTACTTGGGCACGAATTAATCTGTCTTGTGGCGAAAGCTGAACGCATCAACGCACTCTACCACACCAGTGGTTTACTCCTTTTACTACAAAGTACGCGCTGCAGGCAATCGCTATCTAAAAAACACACCTTTCCAGATTTCATATTCTGCTGTGCTCACGAATACATTACATTGCCTGGCTATGTTCTGGTTGTCACTCTTTCATCACTTTATTCTTTTAGTCACGGATTTCTGATTGGGCAATGCAATCGATACATCTTGAGGGCATGCAACGCGTGGGTACGGCCCCGCAAGGTCAGGAATTGCCCGAGCGAAGGGGGAGAGGCACGTGGGATATCTGCCCCAACGGAGAGTGTATGGAAATTCTATCTATCGTAGTAGTGAGAACCCAATGTTTGACAATGATAGCTCTACCAATCTAATATCTGGTACAAGCTGGTGGGCGAAAAGGACAAGAAACCAAAATTCAAAGTTTGATTATCGAATTTATCTGCACATGTTCGTTTCGCCTCCCCCACGCTGTGTTCGTCCCGCTGCGCCTTATAAAAATAGTTTATCCCTGGTCCGATATGGTATCGGTGAGGAAGAGGTGTTGAGAAGATCTGCCGGGTTTTCCGTGTTTAATACAGACTCAGATTGACCTACCCCAGCTACTTTGCTAGTGAGACTGGTCCCAAAACAGTAGCTCAACTGAGCGGACTGAGCAACCTTAATGTGAGCTGGGGTGAAGGCAAATCGGTCGTTCGCCCGACATTGAGTAGAATGGCACTGACCATTGCCCCCCCGTGACGGGGCCCCACGGGGTACCACTGGAGGTTAACGCAGCTTGCAGACCATTACCGCTATGCTAGCTCTGCGTGTCTTCCTGTCTCCCATTGAGCCTACCGTCCTCCACCTCCGTGACCAGTAGACGATGGTGGTATCTCCCGAACCTCTGTCCGGGATGCCTGGAGGAAGGCCCAGTAAGCCTTTGCCAATGCAGTGCCAGCTTCAACTGGGCAGTCTTTATCAAGGCCCGTCTGACCTCCCTTCAAGATATTGATAAAGGAGTGAAAGCAGTCGTAGAACCTTTCGGTGCCTTCTTTGTATTTTGAGGCCCGAACACTGGCATGGATGTTCAGGAGATTTATCATATCTACGTCCTCTGGTTACATGAGCCTATATACTAGAGGAACATTTTCAGGTAAGAGAAAAGTACTTACTAATTCTTTCCACCGTTTCAGGAAATAACCCATACAATTCTTTAAAAACATAATCATCTTCTCTTCTATTCGGACCAATATATAGCCGCGCATCAGCTTTTGCATCCCCACCATGCGCACATGCATTTCCTTCCGCAATCATTCTTCTATCTTGAGCAGTATCACAGATAAGCTCATCTCGCTTGAATGTGCTCACGAAACGGTTCCGCAATCGTAAGTGCGCGTTGTGGGAGTTTTGGGTAGACTTCACCCGGCGCTCTAATCTTGCATTGCATAACTCGAGCGAAGCAATGTGCTCCTGGCATACGCCCAGCCGATTAACTTTGTCATGGTTCTCGCGTTGCAACCTCTCACAGGTGGCCAGAAGTTGCGTGTAGGATAGGTCCCTGAGGTTGGCGACAGATGTATTATGGCTGCTACGTTCTGCGGATGGTGATCCACATGGAGTAATATTGTGGGGTTTATCTCCTGCCGTGCTTTGTTCCCCGTCGGGGCCCCCGGCCGTCGATGCGAAAACGACACCGTTTCCTAAAAGGTATTGACGATATTGTAAACCCGGCCGTCTGTCACAATCGCCGCCCAAACTAACCCCCATATACGGCTCACACAGCTCTTCGATTCCAAAGTGAGGTCTAACA